TTGTAGATCAAAAAAATTTTTTCCTACTGGCGGAAACGGGCTTCCATACCTTACTATGTAAAGTGCCCTGAGATGATTTTTGTTGTGATCTGGTGTTATACAAATAAAACTGAATTGGAACTGAATCTGTTCAAGGAAGGTGTACTACTGCTGATAGCAAAGGCTTCTTTTAATAGTACTGTCCTAGGTCATATTTTGTTCACTGTTTCAGTATATTGTTCATAGGTGAAATTTTACAATGTCCATTAGATATCTACATTCCTTGCATATCATTTGTTCATATATGGCGCTACTAGGTCTTTCTGAGTGTTCACTTGCTCTGGAAATCAGAGCCTACATGCTCACTGTTTACAACCAGGACACTTCAAGTGATATACAACTGAATGTAAACTATTAAACTATATACAGTATAACTATCTAAACTATTTAGGGGTAGGATCCTTGGTAGATATAAAATAACAAATCTTCTTGGAGCCCAATGTTATAAACTCACTGGATAAAATTTCAGGCCTGCGGGAAAATAAAGTAACAGTGCAGCATGTTCATAGAGAAGATGCATGCTAAGGCACATGAAGCATGTTGGGTTGATGCTTGCTTATGATGGGAATGGAAGCTATCACTCTCTGATAATATACAGAATGATCTCTGACCATCAGTAAACTGTGGTGATATCAATACTTGTGGGATGACAGCACATCCTTTTTTCTACCCAGCCTGAGAGGTCAGAGGTTAGCCGCATGATTATTTTAAATTACAGGGCAAAAGTGGAGACCTGGTGCCCCATGGGAGCAAGAAGCAAACAAACAAGTCTGAATTCTTATAAAGCTGAGAGAAGGGTGAAATGGCTGGCATTCAGATGTGTTTGCTGGCACTGTGAGGCTACCACACCACCCTCACACAAGCCCCAGGTTTAAAAAAGCAGCAGACCTTGTTGTGAGGATGATGACGGTCTGAACTGCATTGTATTGCAGCTTTATTCAGTACCTCTCTCCTTGTTTTGTCGTTTTTATATATTTGGACTCCCTGCTGCCGCTCTCCTCCCATGGTGTATTCTTCCTCCACGGACTACTACCTCTGGACCTTGGCTCCACGCAACCCTTCCAGTCTACCCCAGTCAGGTCGATGCACAGTCACCAGTTACCATCTGTACAAACTCCTGCTTTCTATCCCCTTAGTAACCTCCGCTTCACACCGACCAGCTCAGGAGTGACCCCAGCGACGCAGCTCGGCCTACCTCATTACCTCATCACTGATCTGTTATTCTGCTGCTGATCAACACCCGGATTATTCAGTTCATCTACACCTGTCTGTTTTTGCCATTCACCGCACTGTACAGAATAAATCACTGCTTGCACTGAAGTCAGCCATCTGGGTCCGCCTTTCTTTTGCTCACTCACTTTCCCGTGTATGAGCAATCATAACAATGACATGCTTTTCCTTGTTTTTTGACTTATCTACAATGTTATAACAGTGAATTATCATCTTAGACATGACCTAAAGCTCAAAAAATGAGGTGAACATATGTTCTAGTATTTGCAGAAGCAACCTGGTTTATACCAGTCTCGAAAACTATCACTTGCAAGACTTTTTTTCTAACAAAGGATTTCTTTGAATGGTCATGATCTCCAGACAGTTGTGTGTTCATGTGCAAAAAGTTATATTGCCTTGTTTATTATGTATATTTTCAAGAAAGAAAGTCACTCTGCTTTTCTCGTGTCGGGGTCGCCACAGCAAACTGACAGCTTGCATGTTGACATTTGGCACATGTTTTATGCCGGATGTCCTTCCTGACACAACCCTGACTCGAACCTGGGCCGCAGCGGCGAGAGCACTGCGCCTTAACCACTAGCCTACCAGGGACAGCTTTTATGTATATTTTCAAGCTCATTTAAAAAAAAAAACAAAAGACATCCATGGTGTCATAAAAGCATAATCTTTTGACTGCAGCTGATTTTGTGAATATACTTTACTTGCTGCTTGTAGTGGGAATTTTATGGTAGCACCCTTTGAAGTTTATTAGCTGTTGGCTTTGTAGTCATGGTATGCAGGCATTTGTGTGATTGTGACACCACACCATTTATTGTGTCAGCATGTTCGTAAAGATTTTCATGCCTTTGTGTGACTGTTGAACCAGATGGCTAGTATCCTGTATTAACTGGTATCCTGTTGCCCATCTGTATGAGCATTTGTTCCTGCAATTGTGTGTGTGTGGATAAGAAAAGAGGTAGCATTCTGTTCTGGGAACTTTTCGCCATCAGACTGTGTTAGACACTGTTTAGAGATAGCTCCTTTCTGCAGAAATACATTTGTAATAACTTTCAGAGTTGTTAAGTTTTTATTTTACACTCACTGAGCTTTAATAGATAATTTTGTCACAACATGCTGCACTGTAATCAGAGGATGTGGAGAAACATACAGGGCCTGAGGTTACTGCATGTCCAGGAATGTTCCTGTACAGTGTTAGAAATGAACTCAATTCTTTTATCGGAAGCACGAGAAGTGAAGACAGGAGAGGACTGTTTAAAATCAACAGAAAGTTTACTGAAAGTCTGAGCACAGGTAGGTCTTACAGCGCTGGGATCAGAGAGACAGAGCTCCCGGAGGAATTCTACTGTATTCTCTGAACCCTGTGTTAGGTTTTTACAATGGATTTATCTGGCTGGGCCAGGCCCACTCTAAACAAAGGTACAACAATTCCCACTTTGTAATCCTATTGGCCATTTGCTGTAAGTAGGTCAACCCCTGCCTGCGCTTGCTTGCTGATATGTGATCTAGGCCAGGTGTGTGTGTGTGTGTGTGTGTGTGTGTGTGTGTGTGTGTGTGTGCCTGCGTGCATGCGTGTTTCTCTGGCACCCTGATCTTGATATCAAGGTGCACTGATCAATAGGTGGCCTGAGTTGCAGGCCCCCTGTGTGTGTGATGCTAATAAGTATGTTAAACTGGCCGGGTGGTCATCTCAGGTTGTAGCCCCTGGCCTCTGCAGGACATCCCAAGACAAAGCAGAATCTTGGAATATGCTAAGTGGGTCTACTGTGGGTGTAAAACAGGCCAACAGGCCTTTGCTAAAATGTAAATAGGCTGTCTCGTCACAAGGAGATGCAGACAGCCTGTCTCTACACAGAAGTTACAGCATTCAAAGTAAGCAGATTCTACTTCATTACAGTTGTAAGATATATAAGCAAGGAAAATAAATGTATTAAAAATAACCAAAGCTCAGTAGTTCTGGACAATCATCAATACAGCTGTAATATGTATAAACAAGGAAAATAAAGTTATGTAAATTAACTAAAGGGAACTAAAGGCATGAGAAGTAACTAAAGCTTATAAAGTAACTAGAGTCTATAAGACTCAAATTTTACAACAGGGATTTGCTGTTTTACCTGACCGAGTCTAACCTACAAGCAGCCGGCTAGTAAAGCACCCCGTGGTGGTGAATGATCAGCTCATCAACACTGGATTCCCCCGGACCACAGTACCTGTTTGTTTTGACTGCTTGAGGCAGTGTGTCCGCTGCATGTGATGTGTTGCTGGTTAACGATCTATGATGTTATTGTTTGTGCTACCACTACCTGTTGGAATTAATTTCACTACTTTGGGACTTTATGTGGTCGGTTATAATTATTGATGTATTATTGTGTACATCACATTTACTATTGCAGCTGGTAAAGGTAGAGCTAATTTGAAGTAGCTTATATGCTTATAGTTTGAATTACCGCTGGGTAGTTTGTGAATTTTACACCCAGAATTAACTAATCTTGTAATTATACTGTATTTGGTTTATTAACCTCTTTCTGAAAAGTAACTATTAAGTTAGCAAACAAATGTAGTGAGTACAAAGTATAATATTTTTCTCTGAAGTGTAGTGAAGTCAAAGTATGAAGTAGAAGAAAATGAAAATATTCAAAGTACAGATATAAAGGCTTTATTCTATTATAAAGCCACATCCGGTTCTTTCAAACCAGGAACTCAGAGGGACGACTCAGACCACTTGGATATATAAAAAATATAACCATGCTGGTTTATTCAAAGGGTCACAGGCAAGAATTAACATTACACGTCCAGGCATCTTCCACCCCCAAAGCTGCTCACAGGCAGCCCGGAAGAAGAAGCCCCGAACCTAATAGCCTATACAATTTAATCACTTCGTTGGGCTAGCCCCCTCCTACACAGAAACGTCAACCGAGACGTCTCTCTCTCACCAGCCTTGCAGCTGGCTCTGGCAGTAGTCACAACATGAAGCAAATCAACGTGTGAATGTGTATGTCTGTTGGTTAAGTGGTGTGTAGCTAAAAACACTGTAACACAACAATTCACATTAAGAAAAATATTATGGTTACTTTTACCGTCATAATAACATTTATCCCTGACTGCAGCCTTTCTCTGCTTTAACTGACCTTGCATTTAACAGCCTGAGGAAGACATCCTGGCTACACTAACATCTTCTAATACAACAGATCTCTAATCAATATCTATCTAACTAAGAAA